GAGACAGGGCTTAATACACAAAGATATTCTTAAACACTATTCATCAGTTCTCACCAAAGTAATAAAGAAAGCCAAACAACTATACTACTCCAGTAGATTCACAGACACTAGAGGAGATATAAAAAAGACCTGGAAAACACTCTCTCAGATTCTAGGGACCCATAAACTGAAAAAAAAAACAAGAATATTGTCCTGACTAAACCTAGTGAAACACCACTACATCCCACTGACACAGCTAACAAGATAAACGACTTCTTCTCAACCATAGGATCTAATCTCGCCAATAAAATCCCACATACCAATGCCCATGCCGGGGACTACCTACATGGGAATTTCCCAAATTCCTTCTATTTTGCACCAACTGAGCCCTCGGAAGTCACCGAGATTATAAAGTCACTTAAAAACAACTCAGGGAATCTGTCTAATGTTCCACCATTACTGTACAAGCGAGCGGCCCATATCCTTTCGCATGCTATTTCATTACTTTTTAACAAGTCACTAGAAACTAGCACCTTCCCGAAACTACTCAAGATGGCAAGGGTTACACCAATACATAAAGGTGGTGACCCTACAGACTTAAACAACTATAGGCCAATATCAAACTTACCATTGCTATCCAAAATCTTTGAGAAACTAGGGCACAGGAGACTATATTCATTTATAACAGCACAAAACATACTCAACCCCTGCCAATAAACATACTCAACCCCTGCCAATTTGGATTCAGGAAAAATAAAGGCACTAATGATGCAATCATAAAAATGCTAGATCTGCTTTACACAGCATTGGAAAATAAGGAATATCCACTAGGAATTTTTATTGACCTAAGAAAAGCTTTTGACACAGTAGACCACGACATCCTACTCCACAAACTTGACCATTACGGTATAAGACGCCATGCGCTTGCTTATTTCAAATCTTACCTTACTAATAGGTATCAGTATGTCACCATTAAAGACACAGCATCAACAACACGGCCACTTGATACTGGAGTTCCGCAGGGAAGTGTCCTTGCTCCCCTGCTCTTCCTCATATACATCAATGATCTTCCAAATGTATCCCAACACCTGAAACCCATTCTCTTTGCTGACGACAAGACTTATGTCATCTCTCACCCTAATCTTGCCACCCTCAACACCATTGTTAATGAGGAGCTGATCAAAATATCGACTTGGATGACAGCCAATAAACTTACCCTTAACACTGACAAAACCTACTATATTATGTTTGGTAGCAGAGCAGGAGATGCACAAATTAACATAAAGATCGACAACACTCTAATTACCAGACATAATGAGGGTAAATTCCTAGGCCTATACCTTGACAACAACCTGAATTTCAGCACCCATATCCAACACATAACCAAAAAAGTATCCAAAACGGTTGGGATCCTCTCCAAGATACGATACTACGTGCTGCAAAATGCCCTTCTCACTTTATCCATACCTCACCTATGCTATTTGTGCTTGGGGATCAACTGCAGCAACACACCTAAAGCCAATAATAACCCAACAAAAGGCTGCAGTAAGAATAATCACTAAATCCCATCCCTGGCAACCCCCCCACTCTTCATATCTAAATTTACTCCCTGTTCAGTACATCCACACTTACTACTGTGCAATCTACATCTACAGGACCTTAAACTCCAATATCAACCTTTACCTAAAACGCTTTCTTGATAGTTGTGACAGAACCCATAGGCATAACACCAGACACAAACATCTCTACGACATTCCCCGTGTCCGACTAAACCTTTACAAAAATTCAATGTATGTCAAAGGCCCTAAAATCTGAAACACCCTACCTGAGAACTCTAGAACAGCAGACACATTCATCACCTTCAAAACTACCATTAGAAAACATCTTATCTCCCTGATACACCCCATCAACTAACTACACGGATACCATCTGGTGGTTCACACTTACACTCACTCACCCATTTGACCATAAACAGAAATATTAATCTCAATCTTAAAATAATGAATCCTATGATACTCCAATACTGAAACTATGTACTGTGCCAAAACAAAAGCATTCACATTGCTAAACTCACAAACTAGTATTTAGTCACTTAGCCGTAATACCAACTTACTTCATAATTTGTAATATTTTAAAATAAAGAATTAAACTAAGTCTGCCCGAAATGCCTAGCCATGCTAGGCGTTCTAGTGGTACACTCTGTAATCATTATTTAACTACATGTAAACCACACAACAACCAAATTCTGGAAATTCAACATTGCAATCTTTATAGAGAATAAACTTTGAATTTGAATTTGAATATACGCTATACCTATACGCTGATACGATGCCTTGTTTCTGGCTACTTGCCTTCCCTGTGATTCCCTCTCCAACCCATAATACAGCATTGCAAAACAGACACCAGCAAACTTGCGCATGACGTTCAGGCGACACCTGTACACCTGTCCTTGGTCACCCGAAAACCCGGTCCAGCTCTACCATGGCGTTTGACACAGTCACTCAACACTACTAGCAACTACTGCCAACCAGCGCCATGCGGCTGGGTTTATCCCCGGCTCTTTCCCTCGTTCCCTTATTCCTTCCTCTCCCTCACTTCTCTTCAACTATCCAAATCTCCCTTTCACCCACACGGGTCTGACCTGGGAGTATCCTATCGTACACATCGTCAAGTTATTATTGAACGTCTCACGTGTCTCGGTGTTTATATAGAAGAGACAACACAACAAAACACTATGTAGTAGAAAATAAATGGTTAAATTTCCAAATGTTTTCGTGATTTCTCACATTATTAAGGACCTGTAAAAATAATAGAACTTAAAAGGCTGACCCAGCAAGCTGAGCGAGGGAGTGTAGAAAAGATTTCGTCAGGTACCATTTCAGAACTCATAACTTGCTTTGAATAATAATTGGTTCTAGCCCACTTTCCTTATGTTCTACAGTGTAACTCTCGTGTTACGTCACTTTGCCTTATACTTTTCTCCGCCCTAGTATCCTTTCTCTTACTATCTTTCCCTGGGGATCCTGACATGTCTTTTTTTGGTGTTGAGAGCTGGGATGGTGAGTCAGGTCCATCTCACCATCATGGACTGGTGTTGAGGCGGGAGGCTCTTTCCCTTGTGATTTTTCCAAAAATCTTCACAAATTCATCAGATCCTATTATTTTCTAAGTTTTTTTTTCTTTACCTACCGAAGCCATGATTTCAACTCCCCTGGAATCTGCAAACTGCGAATTTTGACCAGAGTTTCACACATATTACCTAAGTAATAACAGTCATCTATAAAACCGCTGGGTTCATTAGTATTCATTTCTGTCGGTGACATTTGTGGAAGCGAAGACTTTACAGTGTTGGACACTGTAGCCACAAACTTTATTTTCGTGACATCTGTCGCTAAACCATAGTCTATAAGGGTGGTCTGTAGACCCTCAGGCGTTTGGAGAATGCAGACATTCTCAGAATGAATGTCATTGTAAACGACATTTCTCGAGTGGATACCTTGAAGAGTTGTGACCAGGCTGCGCATAATTTACATCAATGTTGATGAATTAAATGATTACTTTTATGCGTATTCATCTAGTGTTATACCTGCATACTCAGTAATTAGGTAACCACCGTCTGCATTAACTCCCACTAACTTCTGAACACCAGCAATATCCTTTATTTTCTGTAGTAACATGACTTCACTAATAAACTCTCTATAAAAGAACACTTATCTTAATTCTTTGACTACAAATTATTTTTAGCCCTCAAGCACTAGGTAGCATGTTCCTTATGCCCCTCTTCCTATCACTTATGTCATGTTGCTCGTCAACCAATCAGCAATTTTTTCGCGTCCAAATGTTTTTATATTAGACAACTAACAAAACTCCTCCAGTTTTTTAACCAGTACTTGAGGATACTTTCTGACATTAAACTTATATTTTATTTCAAGATTTTTTTACATGTTATCTTTTTTCTCCTGTGTTTCTTACCTTCTATTCTTTTCCGACTCGATTTTATCAAATTTATGACCTTCACTTTCTCTATCATTCATTTTTTTTAGATGATCATTATTCACTTCATCTTCTCTTCGCCTTTTACTCAGTCGCGTTCTGCAAACATCCCACTCATTTTCTTTTCTATCTCTCTTACTGTTTTTCGAGGGACTAGCATCTCTCTCCACTTTTTCTCTCTTTCTTTTTCTGTTTTTCAAGGAACTATTCTTACTTTCTTCTCTCTTTCTTTTACGGCTTTTCGAGGGACTACCCTCACTCTCTTCTCTTTTTCTTCTTTTCGAGGGACTACCGTCACTCTCTTCTCTTTTTCTTTTACTACTTTTCGAGGGACTACCCTCATATTCCTCCTTGGAGGACATTTTATCTTACATTTCTTTTTTTACTAATTAATAGTGTTATGAAACAACAAAAGCGTTATCGTTTTCCATGAAATACACTTTATATGACACTCGGTGAACAATGGTTTTCTCTATGACATTAACTTCTGTATAATATTGCTTGAATATAGTGATTCTGGAATTCAGGATTTGATAGATTCCAGCCACACCATGATGCTGGTGGAAGTGTGATGATGATGCGAGTATTAGGGACCCGACTTAACACACTGACGTGTTCCCGGAAAACATCATGAAGTCAACTGTTTAATTCTGTGAATCTATTTTCCTATATGAAACAGTGTTAAATATATTAATGCTCTTCTGAGCCGTGATATCCCAAAACTAATTGATGTTAAGTAAGTTTATTCAGGTATACACAAATACAGTTACATAGAATTATCATACATAACAGCATATGTGTAGATTATTCGCCAACGAATTATTAAAGTATCCATGTTAATTAAAGAAAGAAAGAGAGAAAAGGAGAGAGATAAAGGGAAGTAGTGAAGGAGGGAGATAGTTGTATGTGAAGGATGAAAGCAGTCAACCACCCACAGTCTTGCACCATTTGCCACCAGGTGAGGTGAGTCCTGGTCACTCTTCTGCGCTCCCAAACACGCAGCTCACCTCCCGGCCCACCCAACCAACCTTCGATATCATCTTCCGCTATAGACTTTCTAAAGTACTGCTAAACAAACAACTGGAAACGGAAGAAAAGTAGCAAGGGTTACAAAGGTAGATGGAATGGAAAACTCTCATAGGTAAGAAGGCGGGGTATCCATCACCTAACTCCCCTCCTCAAGGTTCATACACTAAACACTGTCAATTAAACATCTACGTGACGACATCCGACTCCAAAACCCACCTAATACTCTACCCAAGCATTAAGATTTTTTACTTGTCTAATGTATCATTAAATTCTTTCTAAATTTTATTATGAATGAATCCAATTTATATAAACCAAAAGAAATATTCATATTATTTTCAAAATTGCTTTACATGAAACATGATTCAATTATATTCCTCTCAACCATGGACTTGCTTGATACAACTTTCTCAACTTTTTGAAAATCAATTGGATGATTAAAATCTCTCACATGAATAAACAGAGCACTAGAATTTTGTCCAGTTCTAATGCTATATTTATGTTGTTTTAATCTTAGTTCGAGACTTTTTCCAGTTTGACCGTAATAAACTTTATCGCAAATTTTACAAGGAATCTTATAGACACATCCATCAGCATTTTGGGGGAAATTCTTTATCAAAAGTTGTTTTACTGTATCAAGATTTTTAAATATAACTTTGATATTAACATCCTTAAGAAGAGAAGGCATATCAACCAAGTTTTCATGGTAAGGGAGAACCAATATATTTTTAATTGAATAAGGTTCATTGTCCCTTTTTGGATTGTAAAAAGTATTTCTAGCAATTTTAAAAGATTTATCAATTACGATTCTTGGGTATTTTAGATCATTAGCTATTTCATAAATTTAGGATATTTCTTTATCTATGAACTCTGGACTACAAATACGCAAAGCTCTCAAAAACATTGATGAGAATACCGACAGTTTAACTCTATCTTGATGTGAAGAATGACAGTGTACATGGGAACAGTTATTTGTAGGTTTTCCGTAAATTTTAAGTTTAAAATCATTGTTACCCTTAATAATTAAAGCATCTAGAAAAGGCAATGAGTTATTTACTTCGAACTTAGCAGTAAGGTTTATAGAATGGGCTAAGTTATTTAATTTAACAAGGAAATGGTTTATATCTAAATTCTTAGGCATAAGACACAAAATATCATCAACATATCTAAACCATTTAGCTCTATTACGAAGGATTGTGTTAAACAATCTTGTTTCAAAAAATTCCATGTATGAATTACTAAGAACAGGTGAAAGAGGATTTCCCATTGCCATACCAAACTTCTGAGTATAAAACTCTCCATTAAATACAAATTTTGCATCAACAATACAAAGTTTAACAAGTTTAATGACAGTAGAAACTGGCAATGGTAAATCGTAATTAACAAGTTCTTCAAATAAGAAACTTAATGAATCATCAACCGGAACTTTTGTAAACAAGGAAGTAACATCAAAACTAACCATGTTGAAATCATTTAAGTCAGACAAGGTGCTTAATTTATATACTAAATCTATGTTGTTTTTAACATTAAAGTTAGATTTTTTTCCAACAATAGGGCTCAAAATATCAACAAACCATTTAGATAATTTATAAGAAACTGGACCTATGGAGCTAATAATTGGTCTAACTGGATGACCTGGTTTGTGCATTTTTATTAATCCATACATATAGGATAAAGATGGATTAGTGGATGCAGTTTTTTTAATTAATTCATCTTTGCCTATATGGATTAATATAAATGCACAAACCAGGTTAGGTTAGGTTAGTTTAAGTTAGGTTAGTTTAAGTTAGGTTAGGTAAGGTTTCTAAGTTAGCTTTGGTGCAGAATTCTAAATCCTTATATCAGTGTCAGTTAAAACAAAAAATTTAATTCTGAAATTCTGTGCTACTTTTCATGTCTGGGATCTGGTACCTTGCCTGTCTGCCAGGTACTTGTATCACATCTATCCTCTAAACTGAGCCTCGGCGTTCACGTACCTCATAAGTACGGCGTACGTGATTATTTCAACCGCGTAGGTCACGATATCCATGACAAGTTTAACTTGGTATAGTCCCATTTTGTCTTTTCTTTCGTACCGATGGCAATTATAATACTTTGTATACACTAAAACTTACCTTTTGTTTTAATACTGTTTATGACAAAATGTGTCACACACAGGAAATATAAATTAAGAGACAGTGAACACTGCCATCTCAAGGTTCTTTAAAATCCCTCGCAACTCCTGCAGGTGAACAAGACTTTTAACCCAATGTTTTGTAAAATTACTGAACTGTGCGACTTACTTGTTGATAGAAGCAAACGATGGGAGCCACAACCCAGGTGCACACTCACCACCCTTACTAAACCTGCCTCGCCAGGCATCTCTTTATAAATTTGTACCTGAAGCTAGCGGGCGGGCCTTCACCAGTGTTACCATGCTACCTTCACCAGTGTTACCATGCTACCTTCACCAGTGTTATCATGTTACCTTCACCAGTGTTACCATGTTACCTTCACCAGTGTTACCATGTTACCTTCACCAGTGTTATGTTACCTTCACCAGTGTTACCATGTTACCTTCAGCAGTGTTACCATGTTACCTTCACCAGTGTTACCATGTTACCTTCACCAGTGTTACCATGTTACCTTCACCAGTGTTATCATGTTACCTTCACCAGTGTTACCACGTTACTTTCACCAGTGTTACCATGTTACCTTCACCAGTGTTATCATGTTACCTTCACCAGTGTTATCATGTTACCTTCACCAGTGTTATCATGTTACCTTCACCAGTGTTACCATGTTACCTTCACCAGTGTTACCATGTTACCTTCACCAGTGTTACCATGTTACCATCACCAGTGTTACCATGTTACCTTCACCAGTGTTACCACGTTACCTTCACCAGTGTTACCACGTTACCTTCACCAGTGTTACCACGTTACCTTCACCAGTGTTACCATGTTACCTTCACCAGTGTTACCATGTTACCTTCACCAGTGTTACCATGTTACCTTCACCAGTGTTACCATGTTACCTTCACCAGTGTTACCATGTTACCTTCACCAGTGCTACCATGTTACCTTCACCAGTTACCATGTTACTTTCACCAATGTTACCATGGTACCTTCACTAATGTTACCATGTTACCTTCAGTGTTACCATGTTACCTTCAGTGTTACCATGTTACCTTCACCAGTGTTACCATGTTACCTTCACCAGTGTTACCATGTTACCTTCAGTGTTACCATGTTACCTTCACCAGTGTTACCATGTTACCTTCACCAGTGTTACCATGTTACCTTCACCAGTGTTACATGTTACCTTCACCAGTGTTACCACTTTACCTTCACCAGTGTTACCACGTTACCTTCACCAGTGTTACCACGTTACCTTCACCAATGTTACCATGTTACCTTCACCAGTGTTACCACGTTACCTTCACCAGTGTTACCATGTTACCTTCACCAGTGTTACTATGTTACCTTCACCAGTGTTATCATGTTACCTTCACCAGTGTTACCATGTTACTTTCACCAATGTTACCATTGTACCTTCACTAGTGTTACCATGCTACCTTCAGTGTTACCATGTTACCTTCACCAGTGTTACCATGTTACCTTCACCAGTGTTACCATGTTACCTTAACCAGTGTTACCATGTTACCTTCACCAGTGTTACCATGTTACCTTCACCAGTGTTACCATGTTACCTTCACCAGTGTTACCATGTTACCTTCACCAGTGTTACCATGTTACCTTCACCAGTTACCATGTTACTTTCACCAATGTTATCATTGTACCTTCACTAGTGTTACCATGCTACCTTCAGTGTTACCATGTTACCTTCACCAGTGTTACCATGTTACCTTCACCAGTGTTACCATGTTACCTTCACCAGTGTTACCATGTTACCTTCACCAGTGTTACCACGTTACCTTCACCAGTGTTACCATGGTACCTTCAGTGTTACCACGTTACCTTCACCAGTGTTACCATGTTACCTTCACCAGTGTTACCATATTACCTTCACCAGTGTTACCACGTTACCTTCACCAGTGTTACCACGTTACCTTCACCGGTGTTACCATGTTACCTTCACCAGTGTTACCATGTTACCTTCACCAGTGTTACCATGTTACCTTCACCAGTGTTACCATGTTACCTTGACCAGTGTTACCATGTTACCTTGACCAGTGTTACCATGTTACCTTCACCAGTGTTACCATGTTACCTTCACCAGTGTTACCACGTTACCTTCACCAGTGTTACCATGGTACCTTCAGTGTTACCATGTTACCTTCACCAGTGTTACCATGTTACCCTCACCAGTGTTACCATGTTACCTTCACCAGTGTTATCATGTTACCTTCACCAGTGTTACCATGTTACCTTCACCAGTGCTACCATGTTACCTTCACCAGTGTTACCATGTTACCTTCACCAGTGTTACCATGTTACCTTCACCAGTGTTACCATGTTACCTTCACCAGTGTTACCATGTTACCTTCATTGCCCTGGAAATAAGTGACTCTTTTTAGGGTTATTCTAGATAATTTACACATATATTACCATGTATGATAATTAGAGAAACTGTATTTGTGTGTTCCCGTTACAGTGTTACCTTCATCTTGAGAGGTGTTGCAAAACATTGGTACCTACACCCGTTGCAATGTTACTTGCATTTGTTCCAGTACAGTATTACATATATTTGTTTTAGTTTCTTGGGTTGTCTGAGTACTAAATACGGTTATGAATACGCAGTTCTTATCATTAACGACCGAGAATGTGCTAGCGAGACTGGAACTTGGTTATCCTTCACGTTAAGATAATGAGAGATTTCTTCACCCGATTTGTTAGGTAAGACACATATGCAACAGTTAGGTATCTTTATTTCGAAACGTTTCGCCTACACAGTAGGCTTCAGTCGAGTACAGAAAAGTTGATAGAAGCAGAAGAGACTTGAAGACGATGTAATCAGTCCATCACCCTTAAAGTTTTGAGGTGGTCAGTCCCCCAGTCTGGAGAAGAGTACTGTTCCATAGTCTGAAACAATATGGAGTTGAAGTGACAG